ATGCTATGTATTCTCTTAAGAGAAAAATTCTTTCACACAGAAAATCTTGCTTGGCAGTTTTTCAGCAAATTGAAACATATATGAAAGTATTTGAGAGCATAGACCAACTGTGTAATAAATTAATCACTATGAGTTAATAATTGCTAAAATCCATACTTATTGGTACTAACTCACCTGAGGGAGCTTTTTATCTTCATCAGACAAGCAGTCAATTGCATTATTGAATACTTCTTCAACCATCTTCTTTTCTTCATCTATGAGAGAAAATTGAAGGGCACATAAATGAATAACCCCTGGGCTGGCAGTCTTGGCTAGGATATGCTACTGTCCAGCTGTATATCTTTAAGTAAGGTGTGTGTGTATATATACATATATATACATACACACACACACACACACACATTTGCTAAATGTCTTATTTGAGCAATTCAGCATGCTTGAAGAAAAGAGTGGGTCTAGACTGCTGTAAGAATGAAGGACAGTGCTTTCGATAAGTTATTCTAACCAAGAGACCTACCCTTAATGAATCAGAGACAGATGCAGAATAACTAGGTTTATAATAATGAAGTACAAGAAGGTATGACTGTAATGGTTCTCAGTAATGTGCTCTGGCTTTAATATAGAGCTACGTAGTTCTAGCTTCCAATGAACTAGGAGAAGGCCAAGGACTCAGCTGCAGTGGTACAGTGCTTGCCCAGCATGTGTTGGCCCAAGGAGAGACGGAGGGGGAAGAATCTGAGAGAACCTTATAAAGCTTTACAAAGGTGCTGAGTACATACTATCTATTATGATTATAAGCAAATTGCGTATGCTAGTATTATATAGCAGACGTATGACTAGAAATTTGTCTTAAACTAATTTAGATGCAACATTAAAACCATGTGGAAATTATGTAATACCTGTGTTGAAATCTAATTTAGTCATTTGAAGAGCATATGCTTCACAATCTTTCTTACTAAAACTGAAGATAATTACAGGTTGAAAATTTCTTTCCATAATCATCTTCACAATCTTGAACACATTTGATGGACCTGCAAAGGGTAAATAAATCATACCCCAAATTAACTCAAAATGGACAACAGACTTAAATGTAACTATAAAATAATAATAATAAAAAAAACCTACAATAAAAAATAAGAAAGATCGTCATGATCAGTCAAGCATGGTGACGCACACCTTTTACCCCAGCACTCAGGAGGCAGAAGCAGGTGGATCTCTGTGAGTACGAGGCCAGCCTGGACTACATAATGAGTTCAGGACAGTCAGTGATATGCAGAGAAATCCTGTCTCGGAAAACCAAAAAAAGAATAAAGAAAAGATCTTCACAATCTTGATTAGATAGAGAATTCTTGGCTATGACATTAAGAGGAGAAACAATTATGACAAAAAGGTGAAACTAGATTACACCAACATGAAAAACTCTGTGCTTTAATAGATAAGAGCAGTAAGTGAACAACCAATCCAAGTTTACTATAATATGGAAAAAAAAAAAACCCAACAAGTTATTTGATATAGGTCTATCCAGAATATATGAACTTTTATAATTCAAGAAAAACAATCCAATTCAAAGTCAGACAATGGGGGTGCTGGAGAAATGGCTCGGCAGCTAAGAGCCCTTGTTACTCAATCATGAGGACCAGAGCTGGGATTCCAGCACTCATAACAAGTGGCTCACAAACACCTCTAAGTCCAGCTCCAAGGGACCCAATGCCCTTTTCTGGCCCCCAAAGGCACACACAGATATACACATGCATAAGATAAATTAAAAAACGAGATTTTTTTTTTTAATGGACGTTGTGGTGCATAGCCTTTAATCCCAGCACTTGGGAGGCAGAGGCAGGGAGATTTAGCTTGAGGCCAGCCTGGTCTACAGAGTGAGAGTTCCAGGACAGCCAGGACTACACAGACAGACCCTGTCTTGAAAAACCAAAAGAAAAAAGAAAACAAAACAAAACAAAAAACCCATACAAATCAAAACCAAAACGAAACAAATAACAACAAAAACCTTTTAAATAGACAAAGGATTACAACAGCTATTTTATCACATCCTGTGAGGTGCCAAAAGTACCCAGTAAGAAGTTCAACCTCAGTGACCACGGGAGAGATGAAGAGCGCACTGGACTAGAATACCACTTTACTTTTACTAGGAAGATTATAATCAAATAGACACATAAGTATCCTAGACGCACAAGAAAATGATACTCAGATACACCCCTCAAAGGAATAGCATGAAAAATGGCAAATGGTGTAGCTACTTTGGGAAATAAATTGGCAGTAATCAAAAGGTTAAACTTGCCATGATTCCTAAATTCTAGATACCTACCCAGGAAAAAAGAAAACGCATAATTCCCACAAAAACTTGTAACATAAGTCAAAATGTTATAGCATATTATTCATAATCAACAAGATAACAGAAACAACTCCATATCCACTCAAATAATGTATATTCTCATGACAGAATATTTATTATTTGGTCATACAGACACATAATATAATTATATGAATCTTCTATCATTCAAAGAAGTCAGCTACAAAAGACTACACGATTCTATTTTCATGAGATATCCAGAAAAGGCAAATCCATGGAGACAGAAAAACAGACTAGTGATGCCCTCAGTCTGTGGTACACTAAGAAAAGAAGATGAAGAATGAGTACGGATGCACATGGCTCTAGGAGAGAGAGGAGCTAATGAAAATGCTTTAAGATCAGATAATAGAGACAGCTGTACAGTTCTATGAATATACTAGAAAGTATGAAGATGCGCATTTTCAAATAGTGAATTTCACGTTATGAAAATTTAAAGCTGACTCTGGCAATGGCGTTATCATGTGAATATACCCAAACCCACTAACTAACCACTCTATGTGGGTAAACTGTACACTATATGTATTTAAACTAATGTCATGTAAGAAAAACAGATCGCCCTTTATTCATCCAAATTGTCATCAAAATACATCAGATAAGAGACAAACTAGAGTAATCTAGCTATTCAATTTGCAAGTACAACGCTTGGCTAAAAACTGAGTTCCAAGTTACCTTTCGTTCCTCCTTTCCGTCCCTTCTGGTCTCCTTTGGCCAAATCACCTGCATCTCGAAGGACTTGCATCGCGGTATTAAAATTATCTTCTCTGAAGTCACCCTAGAAACATAGTATTTTCCATGTAACTTTCAAGTATATAACATAGGCTACAGAGATGATGAGTCAGTGGTTGACAGTATCTGTGCCCCTGCAGAGGGCCTGGGTAGAACCCGCATGGTGGCTCACAAATATTTAACCATAGCAAACATTTCTTAAACACAAAGTTTCTCCAAAGAACAAAAGTTTAATGCAACAATAATTATAACCTAAGTCACTTAAAATAAGTGACCTGTGATAACAAAATGTGATAAAGGAGAGCTGAAATATGGGAAGACACACATATCTGGCATTTCCAGAGCCCTTGATTCTCTAGGCATTTCAAATACAGAGAATTGAAGAAAGGTAAGTAAACTCATGCATTAGAAAGAAGTCTCAGATACAATTTGTTTTTAAACCAGCATCTCACTAAGCTGACCTCAAAATCCTGGGAACAAATAACCTTTCTATCTGAGCTTCCCAAAGCGCCAAGCTTGTAGGTGAGTACCACCATAGCATCAAACACAGTATCAGAAATAAAAATATTTTTAAATAATCATTTTTGAAGAGTGAAGTATTTGAATCCAAAAAAAAGTGTGTCTGTGTGGAGGGAGTGGTTAATATTTTTCTCCAACTCAAAATTAAAGGGAAAGCAACATATGAAAGATGACATTATATAGACAGAGGCGTTATTCCCTTATGAAAGATGACATTATATAGACATAGGCGTTATTCCCTTACATTTTCATCGACCACAAGGTGAAGGCCATCTCCCCCTGCTGGAAATATGTAGTGTTGCAATGGAGTAGGTCGATAATCCGTATAAATTACATGGCAGGGCTGCAAAAAGAAAAAAATTGAAGAAAATTTTATTTCTTCAAGGCAAAGATGTATATTTGATTTACTCATCAAAAATTTAACACTTTCAAATAATTTTAAAAGCTAGGCAAGTGAAAAGTGGGGAGGAAAATAGGTCTCCTAATTCATACTACCACCTTCTTAATTTACCAGTTCCCTAATCAAGACCAAACATATGATCTGGACTTCCACTATCCATTGGTTCATCTGAAGTATTGTAATTACAGACAACAAGGCCTAATACTGTGATACAAGGCACCCTGATATATAAAAACCAAATGAAACTCTTGTAGCACAAAGGCTTTTTAAAACAGCAGATTGATGTAGTTCTATCAGGAAATTCACTGGGCTTCCATCTTACAGAAGCAACAGAGAAGGGGAATGTGACTGGACAGCTCAGATATAAACATAAGTTCATGAGAGTAACAGTGTGCAGCAAACTAAAACCAATATATTCATCAATACTCAGAAACAAGTATTTGTTGCACTTTTTTTTTTTTGTTTTTCGAGACAGGGTTTCTCTGTGTAGCTTTGCGCCTTCCCTGGATCTCGCTCTGTAGACCAGACTGGCCTCGAACTCACAGAGATCCACCTGCCTCTGCCTCCCGAGTGCTGGGATTAAAGGCGTGCGCCACCACCGCCCGCCTGTTGCAAAGTCTTATACAAACATTAAAGTTGAACTAGAAAGTCAAAGTAGAAACAGTGAATAGTGAGTGTGAGCACATTTACATATCAACTACCAAATCAAACATGCAAGACATGAGCAGGATTTTCTGGTCCAAGACCTTAGAAAAACTCTTTACTGTGTTCTTGTAGCTCACTGTCAGAGCAAATGTACTGCCATCAGGATTGGCTTGGGAAATTAGACTCCAAAGACCAACTCTTAGAGCCTTCGCTACACTAGAGTGGAGGTGGAACTCAGAAACAACAATTTCTAATGAGCCCACTCATTTTGATAAGCTGCTTGACTTAAGAAGTAGATTCACACTAAACTGTCTTCTTTATCCTTAAGAGCATCAGAAAATGTATAAGAAGGGTATGGCAAGCCCAATCAGCAACATTTTAAAATAATGAAGACATAAAAAGTGTAGGAAAATACCTGTTTATGTAAGTGGCAAATCCATTCAGCAAACTGTCGAGCATTTGGAATAGTAGCCGAAAGAAAGACATAATGGACATTATCTGGCAGCAAAATAATAGTTTCTTCCCATACCACACCACGCTCTGAGAAACACAAATGTAGTTTGAAATTCAGTGTTAGCTAAGTGATAGTATCTAAAATTATTTTCTCTTAGGCTTACTAACTGAACGTTCAAACCACTTCAAACAAGCATATTTTTGGCCACAGACCATAACTGAAACCTACTTCAGTTCATGAATCGATAGAGTAGATACAACATGCAGTCACTTCATGAAGAATGAACTCTGAAAAAGCAGTTCCAGACTGTATCCTTCCCATAACAAACAAGATGCCCAGTACCAAGGCAGCTAATAGTATTTCTACTATTGGTTAATGACGCCTAGGACACTACAGCAACACATCTGAAAGATATACTGTTACTATCCCATATGCCATGTTACACAAATTACCCTCATGACCTCTGGGGAAAAATGGATCTGATGAATAGTACATATGAAATGGGTATAGCTCTGTTAAAATGTCCTAGTAACATAAATCTATCTCTAAATTAATATTCATTACTTGTTTTATAAGATACTTTAAACAGTATTTTAATAATTATTATTAATTACTTGAAAACACTTACTTGGGCTTTTTACACAATTTCAAAGTTTTGAATACATAGTTTCAAAAAGTAACAGCTCTTTGTTCCATGTAATTTTTGTTTTCCTGTTTGCAACTGAATAGTAATTTTAATAATCAACTTTTTTTAGCACTTACACATATTATATTTAACCTTTTAATCACAGTTAAATTTGCTTATCACATGATTCTTTGGAGTACTAAATGTTTTTAGATTGTGTGTGGGTGTGCGCATGCCATGGCACTTGTTTGGACGTTAGAAGAGAACTTTTTGAGAGTCAGTTGTCTCAGCTGGGCATGGTGATGCACACCTTTAATCCCAGCACATGGGAAGAAGAGGCAGTGGATCTGTGAGTTCCAGGCCAGCCTGGTCTATAAAGCAAGTTCCAGAACAACCAGTGTCCTAGAACACAGAGAAACCCTGCCTTGAATAAAAACCAAAGAAAAAAGACACAGGTCCTGGGATTGAACTCAGGTTGCCAGTACTAGTGGCAAGGGCCTTAACCCACTAGCTGGCCCAGACCCATCATTTTTAAAGCAAATAGAAAATGTGTTTGAAAGTATCCGTATGAATTTGGCAAAGGTAAGTGTTGATGTTTTCTTACATTATATTATCATGTGTATATATATATATGTGTGTGTGTGTGTGTGTGTGCATGTATATATACACACAATATATATACATATACAATATATGTGTGTATATACATGTGTGTACACACACACACACACACACACACACACACACACACACACACACACACACAAGCAGTTCGAAACCTGTGGGTCTCGACACCAGGGAGAAA